TTTTTACACATAACATATAATGTAATTGCAAGGAGGTATTTCTGTAGTCTATTGATACTAGATAGTGGAAAAGGGGTGGGATTAAATAAGCTTATGCTTCTTCCTGCTCCTTTTTGAACATGGACGTTATTTGGAGTTGTGGTTGCTCGTTTTCCTTTTGTTTGCTTTGTTCATTTGTCTCTTTTAATTCTATTTTTTTTATACTTTTTCAACATGTTCAAAATAAAGATTCAATCAATCAATCAATCAATCAATCAACACTCATAACATGGTTGAAGCATGTCTCTGCTGCCTTTTATTTTTTCTTTGATTTAAATTTTTTCATTTACTGGCCATTTTAAATGCTTATACAGCTATAGAAAATAGTATGTTGGGCATTATTAATATATCTGTAAAGCTCGCATTTTTGTGTGCAATTGGTTGTTAGAATAGAATAGAATAATCCTTTAATTGTCCCACAAGGGGGAATTTGGTTGTATCAGCAGCAAAAAAACACACATATACAAACAGAATGTTATAGTTTCTACAAAAAATTAAGTAAAATAAAAACAATATAAAACAACAATTATTATGATTAGCTTTGTATTGAGGCAAATCTGGTATTTTTAGTTAACTAAAGATGGTTTTGTTGTTGTGTTTTTTGAGTATGGAAACTATGCCACTGTATTACAGATGTATTATATACACACATATATATACAATATTATAATAAACTATAACACTGGGGCGATCGTGGCTCAAGAGTCGGCAGTTCGTCTTGTAATCGGAAGGTTGCTGGTTCGAGCCCCGGCTCGGACAGTCTCGGTCGTTGTGTCCTTGGGCAAGACACTTCACCCACTGCCTACTGGTGGTGGTCAGAGGGCCCGGTGGCACCAGTGTCCAGCAGCCTCGCCTCTGTCAGTGCGCCTCTGTCAGGGTGGCTGTGACTACAATGTAGCTTGCCATCACCAGTGTGTGAATGGGTGGATGACTGAATGTGTAAAGCGCTTTGGGGTCCTTTGGGACTAGTAAAGCGCTATATAAATACAGGCCATTTACCACCTTTTCCATAAAATATTACACTGTGTGCGTATATCTGTGTAAAAGACTACGGTAGATTGTAAAATACTATTAAAAAATACTGTTCCATGATAGATTGTACAGTAAAAGCAACTGAACAACACTATCGTGGATAACAACATGCTACACCACAGCATGCTATATAATAGAAATGCACAGCAGTTGTAAACTTTGTCATATTTAATTCCATTGTAGCATACTGATGAGGACTCGCAGTACAAAAAGCAAATACCAGACATTCCATTACAACTTGGACCCAGTAAACCCCACCAAAATATAAAAACAGAACACAACAGCACAACGTTTCTTGGAGTTACAACATGACATCGACAAGACAAACATCTCGATCTGGGGAAAGCCAAGACCATGGTGGTTACTGAAGAACTGCCTCTTTTCTGAATAAAACTTGTTATATTGTATTTTGATATTACAACACTCAAGAGAAAATAAAATAATACAGAAGATTCACAATGAACCTTAAGCACTGCATGGAGAAACAGCTTTAAAAAGCAAGACCTATGGCACATTTATTTCCTGACATAGATTTGCATGTTTTCACAAAAATATAATCACAAGCTTTGATTTTAAACTGAGTACAGATGGACAGATGGATTCCCATGGATATTGTGAAGTGTAAGAGCAGCAACAGGCTAACGTACAGAGTCTATCAACAGATGGCGCCATAGGCCTTTCCACAATCCGTGCATTTCTTGCACGTGTGAGAGGCTTGTTCCCATTGACTTGTCAATGTTTAAGAAAATAAAATGTGATGATGATTCATAGTCCATCTTCCTATTTAATGCTGAAGTGGCTCCATATAAGCAAATATTACACCTTAAGATGAGAAAATGTGAAATATTTGCCAGCAAATACCCACTTGACTACGACATTTCAGAAGAGTTGGGCAGGTTGGCTGTGGGTGTAGATTATTATAAAAACAGATATTCACAAAGTTGCCTTCAACCTTAATTAGCAACAGCAGTGCCACACAGAAGTGAGAAAACATCACATGAAAGGTTTTTTTTCCCCAGCATAACACTTGGATCACAAAAGCATCATAATTTCTTTTTAGGATTCCTGGAAAAACGCATCATTGCTAGTAGACGGGAAATTAGTTTATACCTAGCTGGGATATCCAGCTTGCACCAATGACTTTTTGATCATGTTATGATCGAAGCAACACTTTCAGCAGAAATTCAAATCAAATAATACAATAAATTGTAAGTTTTAAGAAAATTTTGGAGAATAAAAAGACAACATCTGCTCGGTAAAATATTTGTAATGATGGCAAATTTCAACACTTCCAGATTAAACCTTCTGATTCTACATGACTAAGAAATTCTCAGAAAGCTCTGACTGACGTGCACAGTTTTTGTATCAGTGAGAAATGTAATAAATATCCACAAAAAGGTTTAAATGTTGATTAATACATAATTCTAATTTAGCAGTTTTAGGAATGGAAATATGACAACGAATTCCTGTTTCAGTACCGTAGACTTTTATGAAAGTTTCTGAAATATATGCACAAGTTTCATTTTAATGGCCAACAGGGGGCGATAGTGCTGGATTTAAAATAATTTAAAACTGTATGGAAGTCAGTGGGGAAAACACCCTTCGGCTCATTTGATCTGTGGGCTCGGTTAACACTTTTCTAGTTTATGGGCTCATTTGCTAGTTTCAAGTCATTCTTAATGAAACACGATGCCCAGTTTATTAATTATGGTACTTACTAGTCAGCCAGTGAGAATGCCCTGTCCCTTTTCTGATGACCTGTCAGTAACGATAACACCTCAGTGAGCGTGTGGTTTCCCTCAGTTTCAGTCAGATCCAATCTTTATTCATAATGTCCAGTTTTGGCAAAAATGCTAACCTGGAGGATTTCAGAGCTAGTGGTTACTTCCATCTATTATTTACAGTTTATGCTTTGTGCTAAAATATGAAATTCTTGATAAAAATGCCAGTAACTTAACTCTTGAGTCTTACAAAAATTAACCAAATGGATGGAATCAACACAACTGAACAACAATGATCCTTTAGTTTAAAAAGAGAGAGAGATACTTTGGCACATTGTTTCTGCAGTGCAGCAGGTGGCGAGAGCACAAGCAAACTTACAGCAGATTGCTTCATAATTAGGTTTAAGCGTCTTACTGCAAGTGAAGCATTTTACATTCAATATCAAAGACAGAAACAGCAGTCTGACAAACACCAACATCTGGACTGCCGATTAAGGGGCTGGCTTACATTTAGGTAGATACTTTTAGGCAAATTATACACTTTACATATAATATTTAAGCACGTATGTCAACAATTTGTGTATTCATGTACATATATATACAGTCAAAGGTAATCTGACATCAAAAAGCAACTCAACATTTGATCTTTTCAGAAAGATGCCGCTGAATTACATCATTAGTATACACACAACAAGTCTGTAATTAGCAGCAGTTACTAACGCGCACATCTTAGTGTGTGGTGACCAATGTAAAAATGATGAAATTAAAATGTAAAAAACTTAAAAAATGTTTTCCTAATATTCTCCATTGAGATATGAAGACTGACGTCGCTCAAAATAGAAAATCTCAAAATATTCTGAACGGATTTTTTGAGGTATTTCGGGTAGGCATTTTAAAAAAATGCCCCTAACTAAATGTTGACATAATATATGGGCCAGGAAATTGAGCAACTTTTTTAACATCCGTACAGATCAACAAATACTAATGGCTCCTGGATGTAAAAGTCTGTTGGAGGCAGCAGCTGCACACGTAAACAACAACGCCACGGCGCTAAGTTGCAGGACAGCACGTGATGTTCATAGAAAGCAGGAAATCAGTGAGAGGGCAGCAGAAATAAAAAGGGAAAGGATAGGGATAAGGAGTGATTGTCATTGGAGGGGTTTGATCTTGTCTTTGATTGGCCAGAAGAGGCTGAGACAGAGTACATTGTCTGAAATCACACCAGAGTTTCTGGCAGTGTGTCAGCATTGTCCGAGGATAGCAGTTGCCATATCTGCCACCGGTCCCTCTGCCACTCCTGCCACTCTGGACTCTGTGCGACCACCGGGGCTTCTGTTGTTGAAGCCGAGTTGGTCTGCCCTGCGCTCGACCTCCCGTGTGGCTGCTGAGCCGTCGCAAGCTGAGGGGTACTTTGTGAGCTAGCCAGTCGATGGTGCGCATTATAAGGGGGAGGAGAGCGTCCATCGAGGGGGCCGCTTTCTCCGGTGTTTACTCCGGCTTGAGGTCTGAGGGTCGAGTTAACTCCATGTCCCCTTTGCGAAGTCACAGAAGGGTTGATGTTTAGCTGCAGGCGTGGTCGCCCCTTGTCCGCATGAGGGTTGGTGCACACTCTGGTGACCGGTGGGTGGAGTCTGCACTCGGAGATGTCAGGCGTTGTCTGAGTCCGTTGTACTGCTGTCTGATGCCTGCTATCACTATGGAGTCCATCTAGACCTTCCTGTGAGCTGCGGGAGCTTCCTTCTGACATGTTGCTATGGGAACCTAAGAAGAGAGCATCACTTCATCAGTAAGATTGTCAACGAATATTGAGGGAGACACACATTTCCATTTAGTGACTGATATAAAATTGTACAAAGAAATGTAAGAAAGGCTTTTATTAATAATTATTTTTTATGTTATTGATAATAAACCAAATACTAATGTACTACATAAACCTATTTTTGGTAGATTGAATCACTAGAATTCTCAGTCATCTTATTATAATCATCATCTGTATATGTATGAATATACATATACATACACATTTATGTACATATGTCTGCATGTGTCCTATCTCCTCCTTAATCTTAACAAAACCACATATACACACATACAGTAAGTAATAACATCTATAAGGTTCTAAAAGCCTTTATTATTTAGTATTATTCTCATATGCGGCATCCCCCTGCAAATGCAATGTTATGTTCACGATTTGCAGTTTTCTCATGTGCCACGTTCAGTGTACGTTACCCATTCGTAACTTAACGTGTATCCATGGTGAGTCATCAGTAAATACAGAACAAAGCCTTAAAAGCACTGGTTTTGGGGGTTTTGTGATGAAACATGGTTGTGAAAGTACAGCCTTATGCAAAAACGTTTCTGGTTTCTGTAGCTTATTTTAAGTTTATCAAAACTGAATCGGGGGATGGGGAGTATAATGTGTCATACTCTGAAAACCATGCCCAGTGAAAGAGAAAAAGCCACTCAGCCCTATAACTAGGGGCTGACATGCTAAAAAAATGCCTTTAGGTTACTGAATTTTAGGTGTTAAAAAAGTTGCTGCCTTTACCTAAGGTACTTGCCAACACGGCCAAAAGCTAAACGTCAGCTAAACCTATAAAAACATAGTAACTTGAAAATGACAACTGAATATTTGACCTATTATTATTAAATATCAAAAATTATATAAAGTGTAGAATTCAAAAATTAGAGTCCCCAGTTTTGCCTTTCTTCCTGCTTCCGGCATCTTATGACTTTTAGGTGTTGTTTTTGTTTTTGGCTAGCACATGAGGTATCTTTAACCTAAACAAGTCAATAGAAAGCTATGACTACTCTTCCTCTTCCAGTCTGGGTAAAACTTAATGCCACCACCTTTCTTTCTCTATTAAAGCTAAAAATGTATCAAGGTACATGTAGTCTGTTGATGTAGGTTGCTACACAAGCATCCAAGGATTAGCTGATAACTTAGCGCTAACTCCAAATTTGGCTAGTTTGGGTACAGTACAGTGGTAAACCCAGTGTTTCAAAATGCCAGCCCACAAACCAATAGGTATCATCACAGAGACTCTAGCAATCCTTTTATACAGTCAATGGTTAATTAGTTTTTAACCAGGATCGTATGTGCTGCCTGGCTACACAGATAAAACTAACGGTCTGCATAAAGTGGCCAATTTAATAATATAGAATGTGCTACGTGCTTCAGATCTGTTCCCGTCATGGTTAATAACTAACACCATGTCTCAAGCGCATAGCGCTCTGACTCATTAGCCACTTGAAACAAAATTTGCAGCGGGCATGGACTGACTTGAAAATTGTTTACCTGTATATGTTTGATTCTTGAGTGCCGATTTCAGAGTACTGTGCCATGTGCCCCAAATGTTAGCATGTTCTTCTGAAAAAGGCACAAGAGAGGTCAAATTCCTGCCACTTCTGAGTTATACAGAACATTTATTATGAGACATGTTGCTGATACCCAAGAAGAAAGGCCAAAGTGTGATAACATGTGCTAATCACCTATCTCTGTAAATACCAGACATTGTGCATCTCTCACCTTTATAACCCCAAGTGACAGCTCCACTCTGCCCCACTAGAGAGTACTGTTCTGGGACACGGTAGAGCTGCTCACTGGCCGGGCTCCCTGGTTCCCCTCTGCGCTCACTCAGGACCGGGGAGTTGTTATCATAAGGGGACACTTCACCACTCGACGCCTTGTTGGAGTCGCTGGATGAATGCCGCTCGCTCAGGACGAAGGGCTCCTCTGGCTGTAACAGGTCCGGACTCCTGCAGGAGAAAAAAAATAATTAAAATGGGTTCAAATAGTCGGAGATTGAAGGAAAGGGAAACACAAGACTAAGCACTCTATAGGTGTAACTCACTGAGATGCTTTTCTCCTCAGAAGGTAGTCGACCACATCTGGATCGGTCTCCAAAAGGCTCATTAAAACTTCGTTTTGCAGATCAGGAGGAACCTACATAAAACAACGTAAGCAAAATAACTGAATACTTAACATCCACCCACCGATGCTGCATTTATCTTCTAAAGAATGGTCAGATCCTTGTAGTCCTTTCTACTGCAAGGATATCAAAATGTACTGGATTTCTAGTAATGAAAACTTTATTTTTCCCTTTTCCTTGCCTCAGTATGATACGAAGAAACGATAATAAGTTAATGATGTGCCTTGTTACCTTCATTTCCAGTGGACTTCTTAATCTGATCTTCTAATTAGCTGATTTTTATGCTTATCAGACATGTGGATTAAGATGAAGAGCACCGTCCAAAAACCTAATGTCTGCAAATGACTCCCATCCTGAAATGCTTTGAAAGTAAATGTCGCTCACTAACAAATTCAGACATAAGCAGGTTACAAAACAACTTTCAGATGTCATTCATAGAACTTGAGCTGCCTACAAATCTGTTTTTACTCTCTAAGACGCGCAAGTCAGTCCCAATTCACTTTATGCGATTAATGGCTCTTCATTGGCTTACTGCAGGAATGTAAGCCTCCGTGGCAGATTACGAAACATTAGAGTTTCAAAGTTGCGGACCTGAAATGACCCAAACTGTCTTCCCATTTGAGGGACAGAAAAGAACAAAAGCAACTGATGAGGCAGTAATCTGTGTAATACTGTGACCTCTTCTGACAGCAAATAAAGGATTTAATGCATGAATGTTCGGCTTTTATTTTGGAAAAACAGGTTGAAGTATCTGGACGAAAACTTTAAGATGTTTTTGATTCGTCTACATATTTGGTTTTTTGGTTTTTGGTTTTTCTAAATTTTTACTTTATCTCATCTTTTCCTTCTCGTCTGTCTCATTACCAAAGGCCAAATTCCATTTTCATCAGCACACAAGACACAACAGAGAAGATTTTCATCCTATCCTGTGCTAAGGCCCTGAGCCACCCCCTCTCTCCTAATGGCCACCACGTTTATTTTTCAACCAGCATGAACTCCCTAGTCGTCAGTAGTCTTCAGGAAGAGTTTTCCAGGCTTCTTGAAGGAAGCTCTTCTTTTTCTTTAGCTCTTCTTTAGATGTTGACTGCCTTTTATGTCATCTCCCCCAAAAGAACTTGGGCACTTGGTGGATCTGTGGTGCCTGATTGGGCATTTAAGAGGGGTTGTGGTCCAGGGTGGCTTGGGCCTCTTCATCATGTGGTGGGGGCTCTGCCAGGGTTTGGGTGGTTCTCCAGGGTCTGTGGCCCCATCTTCGGCTTGTGCTGAGGGAGCCAGCCTCCGGCGGGGTTGGCTGCTCGCTGCCTCTGGTCCCCTGACACCTCCATCCCACCCCAGAGCTTCGTCTGGGGCCTCCCTCTTCTCTAGGCTGGGGTGGACGCATTGTTGTTGTCGGGACGTGTGGCCCTGGATCTTCAGTTCACTTGTGTGCCGTGGACAGCTGGGGCCTCCTGGGTCTTTCCCTATATGCCTCTGCCTCTAAGTCGGGTAGCATTATTGCAGTCTCTCACCCTCATTTTTCAAGCATGGTCTATGACAAACACTCACACACAGACACTCACAGCCTCTTTCTCTATCTCACGCACATACACACACACAGCAAAATTGTATATTGGTTTGTGTACCCCCCTCTGTTTTGCCTTTTTGGTGCTGTGTATCATATAATTATTGTGCCTTTAAACAGAAGCAGCAGTTGGACACCCTGTTTACTTCACCCTCAACTTTTTCTCGCCCTTTTCTTTTTCTATTTCTCTGCTTTTTTCTCTTATCTTTCACCAGTCTGGCTTTTATCCTCTGTCTGCTCTAGAATAACATCCACAGGACCTACAGAGCAGGCAACCATACGCCGTATGGTTGGTGAGCAGTCGGGCTGGGTTTGAGTCTGACCCGTGGCCCTTTGCTGCATGTCTTCCCCTCTCTCTCTCCCCGCTTTTCCTGTCTATCTACATTATCTGTAGGCTAAAAGACCAAAAAAATACATTTTTTGAGAAAATTGTCAAGTACAAGGGCTGAACTGAAAATGCGTGGAAAAAGCAGCCGAAGTCCAAATGAAACTCAGGGAACTATTGCTCAAGACCACTTAAAAAATGACAACAAAGATTGGCGGCTTGGAGGTTGCTCAAGACTTTTGCACAGTATTTTATTTTTAGAAATCTTCAGCGACTGACCATGAAGAGTGCTTGGTAGCTGGCGATCATCTTTTCCAGCACGGCGATGACGGCCGTGCTCTCCTCGGCCCTGGCTGAGCTCTGGACAGTGAACTCCTTGTCTGTGCTCTTCTGCTTGTGGAGGAGGTTGGGACCAAAGATGGTGGCGAGGTTTAAAGCTGTCATCTTGTTCCCTGTGATCTGGGACACAAATGTACCAACCTATTAATAATGGCTCACTCAGTAATTCCTCAGGCTCAGTCTTTTACTATTAATTTAAATGAACTGCAACCGTATGGTAGGCCAAACTAATGAAAAAAAAAAGTTTTTTCAATACAATTCAGTTATATTATATTTATATAGTGCCAAATCACAGTAACAGTTGCCTATGCACTGTATACTGTAAGGTAAAGACCCGACAACAACAGAGAGGAACTCCAACCATCAAACAAGCCCCTTTGGGCAAACACTTGGCGACAGTGGGAATGAAAAACTCCCTTTTACCAGGAAGAAACTTCCAGCAGAACCCATCTTTTTTTTAATAATAAATTTTAAATACGATTTCATGAACTAGAGACATTTTTGTTTTTCAAAGGGTGAGAAATAACAGAAATATTCGTAATGCCTATTTATTAGAGTAACAACTTAATGGACAGCATCAAAGTTTACATAGAAGATTAATGATTAGTTGTACTCAATACAACACGGAAGACTCGGAATGGTGTTGAGGTGAGGTCGAGGGGTTGAGTTATGTGCTACTTTAACAACAGTCGCCATGCGTGCATGCCATGTGTTTCCTTTGTGTTCCCCCTTGTGTTCTTGTCTCCTGCCCGTTTTTCCGGTCTATTGGGTTTTTCTCTGGGTCCCCACCACTACTGTGCTGGCGTTTGCCCATGTATCTACTTCAAGTAGACGTAAAAGCTGCGCGCCATTCAAATGGTAAACAAACCAGTTCATATCATCAAACACTCACATATCAAAAGTGACAAACCCAAGTTTTAGCTAGAATATTTCAGTAGATGGGTCTGTGTGTTTGCATATGTGTGTGTTTTACCTGGTGTATTAATGCAGGTACGATTACAATATTTGTGATATTTAATTTCCATCCATTTTCCTTTTGTTTTGAAATTCAAAGAGAAAAACAATTTTTAACAGATAAAGGGCAAAGGCTGCATCACAGACACCAGGGACAATTTTCTCCTTTCTCTTCCATATTAGGAGATTTTTTTTTTTTAATAATTCCAAAAGAACTGCAGAAATGATCTTCTGTAATAACACAGACTTGGGAGTTCTTCCTCCCACTTTCTCCTCCCTCTCACATTACCATCTCTCATCCATTCCTTTGGAATCTCCCTTCCAACTTCTGTGCTGTGTTTCTTATCAACCCCCACCCCTCTGCTTTTTGTCACTTTAAGCTGAAGATAGATGAAAAGTAGCATCATGGGGGTTTCTGAACACGAAGCGCAGGCGAGCACGACAGCTGTCTCTGGCTTTCTCTGGGTTGTGTAATAGTGCATGTACTTTTGGACAATCGACATCTAAAATTAAAAGTCATTTAAAGCTTTGACAGCTTTTTAAAAAACAAATTTTCCTTTTTTTTTTTCCTTTTTTTTAATATTTCTTGTTGAGTTTCCTCCCTTTTCCACTCCCAGTCCCAGCACAGAGACGAGAACCACAAAGCAGCCAAGGAGTGCTGATATTTTCCTAGATGAGCTCGAAGCAGTCCGACTTCCTGTCAGAGTTGCGGACAGAGATACTAGAGCCACGAAGGAAGAATCATACACATCGATGTTTGGGTTCATTCTCTTGTGTATATAGACACACAGAGAGAACAAAACAAAAATCCATCTGTACGAACATGTGTGCCAAAAAAGCCCTTTTTCACACGTAAACACAGCAACAAACATTCTCTGCAAAAGATAATGAAAGTATGCATCACCAGAGACAATAAACTTTCTTTCTCAGTGCACATATACAGATGTCTTCAGAAGTTTCCATACAATCATTATGGACATGAATAATTTGGGGCTTTTAATGATTTCTTTGAACTGTTCTTTTTCCAGGAGGGATTGTTATACATATATCTTGGATTTTCTCTAATCCACACAGGGTCAAAGGTATACATACAGGATCAAATTCAACCCCCCACTAATATTTTGTAAAATGTCTTTTAGCAAGTTGCACTTCAACCAGGTGTTTTTGGTGACCATCAACACGTTTCTAGCACAATTCTCTCAAGGCCTCATTCCAGTATGAAATGTCCAAAACACCTGGCATAGGAGGTGTCCAGGAGGCATCCCAGTCAGATGCTTAACCACTTCAACTCCTTTTGACACGGTGGTGTATCGGTTCTACTTTTTTGCTTTTTCTGTGAAATTTTGTACCGAAACTATCTTGCGGTGCAAAAGTTCACAAAAAGTGTAATAGGGTAAAATTATTTGATGACCTTTTTTCTCCCAACAATCAAGTCTGAACAGACGTACGTACACTGCAACTTTACCGGCCAAGTGTGCTGGAGAAAGATGCCGAAATATTTACTTTTGCAGACTTCCCCAACTTGGAGTAGTTGGCCCAGTCCAGTCCCCAGCCTAAATTGCAAAATTTGAGCAAATACAATGGTTGACACTATCCCCGGATGTTATAATCACTACTAAGCTATTTAGTAATCTTACATCAGTGTTTTTGTAGTGCTTGTGCTGTTTCTGGAACATATGTACAGAATCCACCCACGCAAACTGCTTCCTATCACTTCTTTGGTAATTTCTTCCCAATGAGGTGGAACCAAAATGCCATTAAACTGTCCACAGGCTCTACATTTGGATGTTTCAGCCTGTTGCTCACCTCCTGCCCGTCTTTATCTTGCTGGTCATGGGCATGATCAGCCACAGTGGACAGGAACTCCAGCAGGCGGTGAAGTGTGTCACTATTGCATGCTGGGAGAAGGTAGATCAGCAGCTGAACGACACTCTGCTGCTCATATGAGTCCAACACTGTAGTGCGCAAGGAAAAACAGGTGTCAACGGGAGGTTAGGAATGAGGAGACAACAGAAGGGAAAGTGGGAGGGGTGCGAAAAGACACTTACATGTGGTGTTAATAAAAGCCGTGTAGAGCTCCTTGGTTAGGAGAGGGTCTGGCAAATCCCTTAGGAACTCCTTCAGCAGAGCAGATACATCGTGAACACTGTACTCCTCGTCTAGCTGCACATCAATGCCACGATCAAACTCTTCTCGCAGCTGAAGGACAACCAAAAACAACAGGCCGAGGGGAAAGAAAGGAAAAGGGGCACTCAGAGACATCCTCTGCACACAACAATGGACATTATTTCTAGGTAGTGCACACACCCACAGAAACTCACTTCCTTCTGGTCCTCCAAGGGACCTGCTCGACTCTCAGCTCAAACTCGTTTTACCAGTACAGATTAAAATCTCTTCCATCTGACCTTTGGATGACTTCTTCAAAATTACAAAGCCTATTTTGTTGCCATGACAATGGGATGTCTGCACGTTCACTAATGTGGTCGTTTTTACACGAAATGTACAGCAAATTAAATTAATAAATCCTTTTGTCTTTTACAGTCTGCTAAAATGTGATTGGTCAATAGCACTCAAACTATAGACAGACTACAAATAGAAATTGAAACACTTCCTACACTAAAAAACCTGTGCATTGCTTAAAGACCCTATAGGTAATGGCAACATACTTTATTTTTTAAAAAGCATATTTATTTATTTTTTTTTTTGTTAGCTGGTCTCCATAACAATGATACCGTCAATTTGAAAAACTGATAAAAAAAAATTATTGTATCACGCGATGAGCCATCATTAGCCATCACGTGACTTGCAGAACAGGTTGCAAAGTGCAACTTAGCTGATGTACAAACTAGCTAATTGTGCTCTAGAGCGTTGAACATCTGCTCATTGTACTTTAAGCTTAACATTTAGCAAAAATTCTTACGACAAAGCTAGCATTTGTTTCATCTCAGTCACCACACCTCTGCTATGATGGAGACAGAAAGTCACAGATGTTTTCTCAGAGGCTGTCAGTGAATGAGTAACCTCCCCTCCCTAAGTGCCTTTAGTTTTCTGTAACCGCTACAAGTGCAACTACATGCCAACAAAACACACAACAGATTATATAAAAAATTATACCACCCACACTGATTGCTCCATTTCGTTTAACCGCGATTTATTCATTCTTTCACTGTGTGTTCATTCGAGTCAAAGGTAACGGATAATGAGCGGTGTAGGAGTTTGTAGAATAACTTCATATTTGCTTGAATAATGAGAATAAACTCTGCTGGATCACTGTATTTGTATACTGTGAGGCTGGAAAATTCAGTAGATCAAGCTTTGCTAGCTTAAATGGCACATTTTAGTGCAATGTGCTGGTTTTAACACGTTCTATTCTTGGCAAAAACATTTTGTTTGTTGGTGTTGACTCTTGTGAAAGGAAAGAGAAGTGTGAAGAACATTTCACACCAGAAACTTTCACTTTCTACAAAACAGGGCTCTGATTTATTGTTGGGCTTTTTAGCATGGCGCTTTGCATCTTGTTTGTGGATGTCATAAAATGATACTTTCAAATAAAGGACAATGGGTTACTGATGAGTATAAAACAACCCAATTAAGGCCCTGTGAGAGATGTTATACCACATGAAGGAATATATTTTACTACATGGACAGAATACTGACCTGTCGGACTCTCTTCTTGGAGCTTCCAACTCTAAAGATCCCCACAGTGTGCAAACCTGAAGTATTAAAAGTGCAGAAATAAGAGAAATCAGACACGGCTTGGTAAAAGTAGAGTCCCAATTCTGAAGAGGCAGGGACACAGAAAACGTATCAAATGTTTAAACTGAGACATTTTACTGTTTTATGAAAAATATCAGCCCATTTTGAATTTGATGCAGCAACACGTCTCAAAAGAGTTGGAATAGTTGCAAGAAAAGGCTGGAAAAGTAACGCTTTTTCAGCTAATTAGGTTAATTGGCAACAGGCCAATAACATCATTGGGTGTAAAAAGAGAGAGTTTCTTAGAAGTAAAGCTGCATCTATAAATTCTTATAGATGCAGCTTTAGATTAATGTTGCTCAATGTGAAATTGTTAAGACCTAGAATTTGTACAAAACTCTGCCCGCAAAAGAACAAAGAAAATTTACTGGATGCTGGATGCCCCTGAACCTCGTGCCCTCAGGTGATACTGCATTAAAAAACTGTATTATTCTGTGTTGGAGTGCATGAGCTCAGGAACACTTGCAGAAATGCTTATACAGGTTTTAAATCAACACATGCTCCCATTCAGATAACATCTTTTTCAAGGAAGCCCTATTCATAATAAATTCATAATTCAGGAAGAGGATCCATATGCTGTATTTATTACAACAGCATGGCGTCAAAGTAGAAGTGTCTAGATGCTGAACTTGCCTGCCTGAAGTCCAGCTGAAAACATTTAGGGTATCATAAAACAAAACATACGACAAAGAAGAACCAAGTTTGAACCAGCAACTGGTCTCCTCAGTTCCCAGACATTTACAGACTGTTGTTAAAAGAACAGGTAATGCTACACAGTGGAAAACATGGTCCGGTCCCTACTTTTTTAAGGCATGTTTCTGCCATCCAAGTCAAATTGATGTTGCTTGTTTTCCCCTAAATAGTACATTTTCTCAGTTTAAACATTAAATATGTATGTTCTATCGTGGTTAAAATATGGGTTTATGAGATTTCCTGCGTTCTTTTTTTATTTACATTTCAAACAGGATCCTGATTTTTGGGGGGTTTGTATGAGCGATTAAGCAGCTGCTCACCATATTTTTCGATGTGCTGACAGCAACTATCGACGACACGTGGCACCTGACGGTAAATGGGATTCAGGCTCAGCCTTTTGTCCCTGTGCTTCTCTTTTTTACTTGGCGTTTCAGCTGGCAGAGAGAGCTGCAGCGCCTCAAGCAAGCGGGACTGGTTGTCGTCTAGGTCTGTGATGGAGTCCACTGACATGCCTCCCTAGAGGATAATCAACAAACCCGGCTGAATAGAAAAAAAAACCTCCACTTGATCTGTGCGGGCGGCTCAGGCTATGATGAATTTCAATGCCTCACCCTCCTGCGCGCTCGTGGGGCAGCTTCAGGGGTGTTGGGCGATGTTGACTCATTAGCCGTTTCTGATGTGGAACTTAGCGACGAGTTACTGCTGGATAACTCCTTGTTGGACGGCCGCTTGGTGGCAAACTGCAGGACACATGATTTAAGAGTTCAGTCTATTCTCTGGAGTACAAATACATTAATTCCCAAATGTTCCCAAGACTGAAGATGGGAATTACAAGACTGAACACACAGAGGGAGAGCCATACAGATGAGCTGACGGACCTGTAAAATGGACGATACGAGGTCTGAGGAGTCTTTGTGCTCCTCCCGCTGTGGAGGGTCCTGACGAAAAGAATCCTGGCGCTGCCTGTGAGCTCTGTCGTTGGCGATGACCTGGGACAGGGGTATACTAAAGGCCTGGGGTATGAATTCTGTGAAAAATAGCCAAAAGATGTTGGAGGACGAGAGAGGGAAAAACAGGAAAGAAAACAAAAAAAAAGGTTAGGGTAACTGAACTAATATTAGCTCCATGAAGAAATGGGAAAAAGAAGCTCCTTACCAACAACCAAAAATAGCTCTCCAGCATAAACAGTTAACAGCTTTATCACTTCTGCTGCAGCCTGCCTTTTACACACATGCAATGGAGGCATCTCAAACCACATTAACAATATCAGTAAAACTTTTACGGCACTACTAAAGAACTACATCTGTTTTCCAAAATAAGACATCACAGAAAGTCAACCGACGTAAATCTGGCTACGAGAGCCCACTAATTCTAGGGGCCTCTGACAGAAATAACACAACTTTGATGACGCTCACCCACAACGAGGTAAACTTCAGTTGGTGCGCAGCTTTGACACATACTCGATATGAATAATGGTTACTTGTTATTCCTTTGCTCCATTTACCCTAGTCTTACATAAGCCCAGAATTCAGTGATGGCATAACTGCAAAATAGCAACCCTGCATTCACGTGCTCCTCTGATGGTCCAGTTGTAACGCTGCCTCTCAGAATATGTCGTTTGCTGTGACGGATTGTGCCGTTTCTGCAAGTAGAGCTGGCACAGAGAAATGCTTGGTTGTCATGCCGACAGTCAGCATCCGATGAGTCAGGCTAGATTTTCGCTTTAACGTTTTTAAAGTTTAAAACAGTCATCAGCTTCTCATGTACTTCTGATGGATGCACACATGCGAGGGCCCAATTACGTGCAGTGCTGCCTTCAGAGAGGAATTATGTCATACTGGGCTATTGCAGGCTATATATTCCATTTACACACAATCCTAAGGGCTGAGCCAACAGCTGAGGGGGGGAGGAAGAAAAAAAAACTTGTCCAGCTGTGCGGTGTGTGTGTGAGAGAGAGAGCCGGAGTGAAGAAAAGAGGCAAAGGAAGACAGAGGAGAGGGAAAACAAAATGCAGTCCACAACCACAAGTGAAAGGCTGTGGTTTATGAACAACACTGTGGCACAAACAGTTTGCTCTACAGTCGCTTAAATATCCAACACATACACAAGCACACGTGCTTATATCCAGTCTCTAAACTCCATAACATAGACATGATGAGCAGCTAAACCACGTTCATCAAACCATGTCAGATCTTTATAAATCTTCCATTTTCAGACCTTTGGCGTCTCAGGAACACACACTTGATTTTCAGCACTTGGTTTTTCACGTCACCAGTGACATTAACTGGTCTAAGTTCATGCAGGAGTCATCTCACAGCTTCAGGAAGTAGTAAATGCTCAACTCAGCACAATACAGCAAGACATAGTTGAGACCAATTAGTGTGTCTTTTCCTTAGAATGACAACTTGCTGGATGTTGTCTGAGGTAAAACATCCGCTTTTAACAAAAGAGACTGTAGCAGCTATTAATCCATTTGCAAATGCAGTTTTGGCTGGTGTTTGACCATCACATGTCTACAGATCAGATTACTGCAGCAGCATCACCAGAGACACAATTTTCTTTTCCCCCCTCTGTTTCTCTCTTGCAGAGAGGACTTAGAATCCTTTTGTGCTTGAAACCATGCATAAATCAAGCCTTCTGGGCTCAGTTCAAAGCTAAGCCCACCATGCACCACCACCATGATAACAACCGGACTTATAACGCTATATTACTTATAACATCTGACAGACGTTATAAGCAATAAGCGTTGATCGAAGCATGTGCATTATTTACATGCCAACCTAACACTCACTCTCGAAAACCTGGAAAAAATTTACATTTTTGTGTTTTGGATGCTGTTTTGCATCTTTTAACTATGCACTGCCATGCTGGCTTTAGCAGTTACGAGTAAATTTATTGTGTTTTTTGTCTCTGATTTAAAAAGCTTTATAAACTCAGGTGTTTTTTTCATTCAGGAGGTTGACTCCAAATGCCACCCCATAGACTCCTAGGTTAAAATGTCCAAATTTACAGTGGAAATAAACATGTTTTCTTGCTGCTAGTCACCCTAGTCATTACTAATTAGCTAGTAATTAGCTTTGTTCATATATCACCTTAACAGTAGCACTTTTCCTTATCATTAAGTGTTCTCAGACCTTCTGTAACAAGATCCCATTTTCATTTTACAGTTCACTTTGCTCTCCACTTTATTGTCTTAGACTATGTTTTTTGCTCTTCCTGCCAAATATGCAGGGTTTGCTTACCGCAGCACAGTGGCTGATCCTCAGAGCCAGTCCCCTTACAAGGAGTCGCTCCACTAAAGCTAAATATAAACTGTAGAAGTCCAGTAAACAGAAACTGTTTTTGTAACCTCCCTGTTCACCTGCCCGAGGGGTGGAGACCACAGACTGGACCCCTATGTCTCACTGGTTGGGTGGAGGGAGGGAGGGGGGATGGAGACAGTCGTGACAACAACTGAAGGCAAAGAGACGCAGAGGGAAATAGCAAAATATCAGAGTGGGTGTTAAAAGAAGTTGGCGTACCTTTGTCTTTGCTTTTCTCTTTTGCGAGCGAGTCCAACTTCCTTCTCAGCGACTTTTTCCTCTTCTGTCCATCTGCACATGGGGGAAAAAAGGGCCAAAATAAATCACCTGAAACAAACGATTCCCATATCTGCTCTTTCTTATCTGGATTATTATATTTAATAAGCTTATGTCAGGAATGCAGACATGAATTAACTTCTGTGGTGGGGGAGGGAGGTGAGGTATCCATGCACTCAAATCCATTTAATGGAGCTGTCAGACAGGGTCAGCAACAGTAGTAGTCAGCACAGGAAAAAATGACTGTGAAAACACATTAAATCACTTATAGTTTTTATCTAAATTACCAAGTATATGTAAGGCTTTTCTTACCTCAGACAGCAGTACATGTCACAGCACCATATATGGGCGCATATACACATTCTTAGCCTGGTTTATCTTAATAAAAACCCTTTTCTGCATTAAGAGCACAGCATTGCCCCCATTCACTGCATTTATTTTCATAGTGATCTTTAGAGAAGCAGCTGATGGGCTTTAACTTAACAAAAATAAAAAAAATCTCCATCCTAAAAAGGACATCAATGTCCACATGTGAGCTTTCCATCGAGGTATTTCACCACAATTCTTTGAAAAGAGGAAGCCGTTTTGTCGGCCGTCAACATGATGAATGGCTCCTGAATTTGTTGACTGATGATCAGGAAACTGTGGAAGCTGCGCCACGTGAGACTTGAAAGTCTTGGGATCTTCATCTTGTGGCGAGGAATGTCAGTTTTGTGGAAACCTCAGCAACTTTTAATGTTATCGTTCTGTCACTCTGCTATAAAAATGCAGTCCTTTTAACACGTGAGATCTTTCTGGGCTAATTCGCGGAGCCTCGATCTGCTGCTGTAGCAACCTCGGTTTGAACCGCAGATGTTCCCTTACAGCTGTGTCAAATGAGTCACTTGGAGGGGGGATGAGGGAACTGCATCCAGTGCACATAATGTGCTTGATGGTGGTGCTGGCAGCTTATGTCAGGTTTCTGATCCATTTAACCTGGCCTGAAACTTTAAGCGCAGCAGAAGCACAAAGTCTGGGAGAAAAGTAGGTGAAAACAGTGAGGGGCGTGAGACACCGCGAGAAAGAAAGCAGATGTTGTGATTGAAAGCGGGGGCAGCAAGAGTGAGAAGGGAGAGGAAAACAGAGGAAATGGTTTGGATTTTTGACAGATGATTTCCAAAAGCCTTGCGGAAATCCCCCCGAAAACGGCACACTCCTCTCCTCAGCTCGCAACCAGTTGTGAAGTCGTACGATGAACCTTTGCTGCCTTTTTCTCATCCCATCCCTCCTTGTCTTCCCAGCTTCTGTCCTCCTTTAATCCTCTCCTTGTTCTCGAAGAAACCCTAGAAACACGAGCCCTGCCTCTCGGATAAATATCAGACACAAAACGCACGTTATAGCGGAGCCGAAACAGCGATCGGGCGCGCACACAAAATCTCACACAGTTGAAATATTTCTCTTGCTTCCACATGGCGGCCGTCAGGGGCTCTGGAATTCATAAGCAACGCAGACAAGTACGTATTAAATCATGCTGGGGAGAGATTTAACCTTCAGCTGGAATGCAAGCCCCGGATAATCCACTCACTGCACTATAGTGCTGCTATGGCACCCACTCAACTGATATAGTGCACAATGCTACCCTCACTGTGCCCCTTTGTGCACCTTAGCTTGTAGCAGAAACAGATTCAAAATTCAGATGTCATATGATATTGTGAGTTTTAGCTGTTATTTTTATTGATTATTACCTTGCAAGACTAAAGTAACTGTAAAGAACAGCAGAATGCAAAAAAAAAAAGTGCTAGCTGCCCCAAAAAGAGTCAACTAAGAAATGTGGAGATTGGTCAATTTTAACATGTGTCATTTGCATGAGTTAATATGCAAGTTGATGAAACTGAAAGACGAATGACTTCTTAATTGGGTAATTGTTATGAGGTGCCGTAAGGGACATTATTACTGAAACGCTCTCACACACACTACTGAAATTTTAGCTCTCACACACACTACTGAAACGCTCTCACACACACTACTGAAATTTTAGCTCTCACACACACAACTGCAACGCTCTCACACACACAACTGAAACGCTCTCACACACACAACTGAAACGCTCTCACACACACTACTGAAAAGATAGCTCTCACACACTACTGAAACGCTCTCACACACACTACTGAAACGCTCTCCACACACACTACTGAAACGCTCTCACACACACTACTGAAACGCTCTCACACACACTACTGAAACCAGAGGCATTTCCGCTGAACAGGAAGTTGTTTCCTGACAAGGAAACTGATGGAAAAAGTGGTATATTTCAAAACACTACAAGGATGTCTACTCAGCAACCTGCTAGTACAGCAGTCCCCAACCTTTTTTGCGCCACGTAAACGATATAAAAATAAAAAAACGATAAATACCATGAAAACCATAAATAGAAATGTGTTCGAATTTTTGTGGAGGAATAAAACCCATTACATAGAAAGATCTCAGCTTGTGAAGGGATACAATAAAGGTGGTATCAAAACTCCAGAATTGGAATTTATGGTTGGCACCCTTAGAATTAAATGGTTAAAATCTTGTCTGTCACAGCCAGACTCTACTTAGCTCCACATCCCATGATTCTTGTTTAATAAAATAGTATACAGGATTAGACTTTATTTTGAAATGTGATTTTGCGGCAAATAAAATCCCCATAAAGATATCAAACTTTCCAAAACAGACGTTGCATTTTTGGGAAAATGAGATTTACCCACAACTTCTCCCCATAATTCAACCTTATGGAATAATAGGGTAATAACACTTAATCAAAAATCAATTTTCAAGAGTGACTGGTTTGAACAAAAATATTATATTCATAACAGATTTGTTGGATGATAACGGTGTCATTCTAAGTTACACAGACTTTTCAGAAAAATATTGTCTAAACTGTTCTCAAAGAGAATATAACAAATTTTGTGAACTGGTCCCACTGCCTCTGCTTCATTTGATTAAAATTTTTATGATATACAATAATTTCTCATCAGTGCTCCCAAATTTATTGCTAGGGCAATGTCAGCTGTTTGATAAAAATGCAAATGCAATAAGAAATTTGTTAGTAGTTTCTTCAAAGACAAAATATTTCATAGCTACAACAGAATGGTTTAACTGAAACGCCTTCCTGTTCAACTGAAATGTCTTGGTTTTTCAGTAGTGCTGTGTGAGAGCGTTTCAGTTGTGGTGTGGGTGTCGGAGAGCGTTTCAGTATGCGTGTGAGAGCGTTTCAGTAGTGTGTGTGAGAGCGTTTCAGTTGCGTGTGAGAGCGTTTCAGTAGTGAGTGTGAGAGCGTTTCAGTAGTGCGTGTGAGAGCGTTTCAGTAGTGCTGTGTGAGAGCGTTTCAGTGTGTGTGTGAGAGCGTTTCAGTAGTGCGTGTGAGAGCGTTTCAGTAGTGCTGTGTGAGAGCGTTTCATGTGCGTAGATTTAGTGTGTGTGAGAGCGTTTCAGTAGTGCGTGTGAGAGCGTTTCAGTAGTGTGTGTGAGAGCGTTTCAGTAGTGGTGTGAGAGCGTTTCAGTAGTGCGTGTGAGAGCGTTTCAGTAGTGTGTGTGAGAGCGTTTCAGTAGTGGTGTGAGAGCGTTTCAGTAGTGCGTGTGAGAGCGTTTCAGTAGTGTGTAGACGTTCAGTTGTGGAGAGCGTTTCAGTAGTGTGTGTGAGAGCGTTTCAGTCTGCGTGTGAGAGCGTTTCAGTAGTGTGTGTGAGAGCGTTTCAGTATTGCGTGTGAGAGCGTTTCAGTACTGCGTGTGAGAGCGTTTCAGTAGTGCTGTGTGAGAGCGTTTCATATGTGCGTGTGAGAGCGTTTCAGTTGTGCGTGTGAGAGCGTTTCAGTGTGCGTGTGAGAGCGTTTCAGTATGTGCGTGTGAGAGCGTTTCAGTAGTGCGTGTGAGAGCGTTTCAGTAGTGCGTGTGAGAGCGTTTCAGTAGTGCGTGTGAGAGCGTTTCAGTAGTGCGTGTGAGAGCGTTTCAGTAGTGGTGTGCTCAGAGCGTGAGAGCGTTTCAGTAGTGCGTGTGAGAGCGTTTCAGTAGTGCGTGTGAGAGCGTTTCAGTAGTGCGTGTGAGAGCGTTTCAGTAGTGCGTGTGAGAGCGTTTCAGTAGTGTGTGTGAGAGCGTTTCAGTAGTGCGTGTGAGAGCGTTTCAGTAGTGTCGTGTGAGAGCGTTTCAGTAGTGCGTGTGAGAGCGTTTCAGTAGTGCGTGTGAGAGCGTTTCAGTAGTGCGTGTGAGAGCGTTTCAGTAGTGCGTGTGAGAGCGTTTCAGTAGTGCGTGTGAGAGCGTTTCAGTAGTGCGTGTGAGAGCGTTTCAGTAGTGCGTGTGAGAGCGTTTCAGTAGTGTCGTGTGAGAGCGTTTCAGTAGTGCGTGTGAGAGCGTTTCAGTAGTGTCGTGTGAGAGCGTTTCAGTAGTGTCGTGTGAGAGCGTTTCAGTAGTGCGTGTGAGAGCGTTTCAGTAGTGTGTGTGAGAGCGTTTCAGTTGTGTGTGTGAGAGCTAAAATTTCAGTAGTGTGTGTGAGAGCGTTTCAGTAGTGTGTGTGAGAGCGTTTCAGTAGTGTGTGTGAGAGCGTAAAATTTCAGTAGTGTGTGTGAGAGCGTTTCAGTAATAATGTCCCTTACGGCACCTCATAAATCGTGGTGCCTGTGATACTAAAAAAAGTTGATAAAGCAGGGTTGAATTTAGGGACTCGCTACTTTGTGGTTTGTAAGACCTTCTGTATACGTGAGTAACACGACTACTTTAAAAACATTAACAGACCAACTGTTAAAAGACATTGCCCAATCTTTCAAGGCGAGCCTTGACAAATTAGAGGTCATGAAAGCTGCGTTCATGTTATGCAGCCAT